GAGTTCCTAAATACAAACTCATGTACAGTGATGTAGATATATTTTATAAAGGACAATAAAACCATTAAGTTATCTACAAAATACTTTATTATTATACCTCATACTAAACAATATCCCAATCGTAAACTTAACGAAACTTTTAATCAATCAATAACCAATCACTTCCATATCAGTGGTATCCGTAGCCGTATCCGTAATGGTGGTGGTGGTGATGGTGGCCTGGTGCTGGCGCTGCGTCCTCGACAACTGGGCTGCGCACCTGTCTATAGTACACCTGTCCACCGCTGGCCAGCGCCAACATGGCGCACACGAACAACGTGATGAAGGCAAACTGGGGAAGAGATACATTTTATTATAAAAAATTATTTTTTGACCCCAAGGTGAGAATTTGTCATTGAGCCATCTCGCCTCGGAAGGACGAAAGGGAATTCATACTACATTTGTGTAGATAGGCGAAATATGGAAACTATGCCAAATACAAGATTGTTTTTTACAGTGGCAACAAAAATACAAGTCACAAATGCTTTGCTATCTTCTCTTAACTCGTCGAGTACCGGTTTTGTAGACACAATTATAGAACAATAGGTTGCGGTCACCGGTGACCGCTTGGTGTTTGACAGTTTAAAAATGACAAGTTGTCAATATCAGATTGCAAATTCTGATATTGATCAACTAAACTTTAAACATAATTTGGGCAACGTAAAATGCATTTGTAATTGTCACTGGAGTACCAAATACTATCACTGGGTTTCTATCGAACTAAACCCCTTAAATCACAGATGGCAGTATTGATAATTAGCTGAAGTAAATGCACAGGTGAAAAAATATACAATTTAGTAAAATAATTATCTACTTACGAATTTCATTGTAACAATTTTCAAATTGAACTGATGCCTGTGTCCCATAAACGCCTCGTTTTATACTAAATCTTTGATGACGACGGAGAAAACAGGTTGCAGCCAGTTGTATCACAAACTTGAAAATAATAATATATATATTGTAAAATAATAACCTATGTATATATATCATAGTATCGCGGAAAATATGTAAATTAGCTTTTAGATACGACCCGTCACGTGAGATTTGTATGGATTAATTGGGTACTTTGTACTAGTATCGGGTGCTTTGGAAATCCATACTAATATTATTAGCGCGACAATGTGTGTAACTATTTATTTGTACGTTTTTCACGGCAAAACGGAATGATCAATAAACGTGATTTTTAGTGGAAATAGTTGAAGGCATGGAAAGTAAGTAAGAGAGCTAAACCTTTTTATGCGGACTATTTATTTATTTATTTATTTATACATGTACACAACACAAACAATACACAGAAAAAAATGTATATTATATATATGGATTATAACAAAACAGAGGTACATAGGTACTGCATATCCCTTATGGGATTTCTTCCTGCAGCCCTGCGAGAGGAGGAATAAATACAACATACGACACAGTGTGTAACAACAAAAAAAAACAAACAATAAGAAGACACAATTTGTGACTAACAAAAAAATGCATATTTTTATAACTCAACCCCTTTAAAAAGTTATTAATGATTATTAACTAACTAGCTTTCCGTCTGCGGCTTCCCACGTTATTTTTTCATTGTATAGGTAAGCCGGTAAACGAGCAGACGGATCACCTGATGGTAAGTAATCAGCGCTAGCAATGGACTCCTGAAACACCAGAGGCGTTACAAGTGCGTTACTGGCTTTTTGGAGATTAGGAAGTTGAGGATTTTTGGGGAGTCAGGTATTGCGTATTTAGGAAGCGGGGTAATTGGGACTCCGTGAAGCTCAGTCACACAGCGAACCACCACGCAAAAAGCGTGGTTTCACGACGGTTTACTGTGAGGTCGGAGTATAACTCCGGTCAAACCGGCCCATTCCTTCTAAAACGTGGCTTTCCAACAGTTGAACATTCCTTCTGTTTTGTAATGTTCGGAGTTTAAAAGAAAACCATTTCGTTCAAGTGTCGTTTATTGAATGCCAAAGTAATACACGTTAAAACTAATTACATATAAAGTGCAGCGTCAACATTGCTTGGAGGTATGTTGCAGTCAATAATTAAAAGTCGAACCGTGTCGCTGTTAAACTATAAAATCATCGCATTTCAACTCCCCCGAAAAAGTACACACTTCATCCCCCTTATAAAAGGAAAAAAAAAATGAAGGCTGCAAACAATGTTGACTACATTTTTTTTTTTTTTTTAAAACCTTATTAGAATGTTACACATACTTAAACTAAGCTTATAAGTAAATTACAAAATAAAATCAATTATGAAATAACTTTGTATTATTTTTATGCGTTACATATTCCTTATTATTTTTTATAATTTTCACATTTGGTGCAAGATCCTCAATGACTTTATATGGTCCACTATAAATTTTGTCTAATTTGCTACCTACTTGATTTTTTAATAAAATTAAGTCTCCTTCTTTGTAAGTTATAGTATTAAGTTTTTTGTCATAAGATTTTTTTCTAATTTGTTTACTTTGAACAAGGTTTGATTTTGCATCTAATTGTGCCTTTTGTAATCGAAATTTTAACTCTATAGGATAATTTTCATCATTATAAACAGGATCTACTGAATTAGTTTGCAAATTTGTTGGCAAGTGACATAGTTTTCCAAAGACGAGCTCATAAGGCGTATACTTTGTCTCAGTGTGTACGGTAGTATTATATGAGAAGCACCAGTATGGCAACCATGTGCTCCAATCTATACTAGTACTTTCGCACTGCATTCTAAGAAATGCTCCTAAATTTTTATGGGTATTTTCTAAAGCACCAAGTGTTTGATGGTGATAAGCCGTGCTATTGTATTTTTTGATTCCTAACAAACTGCAGATTCCTGTCATGATCGACGACATAAATTCTGTCCCCTGATCAGTTATTATTTCTTTAGGTAACCCATAACGCAAGATAAAATTATTCACAAAAGATTTCGCAACTGTCTCCGCATCTTTTGTTTTTAGAGGATACGCTTCCACATACTTTGACAAATTGCATTGTAACGTTAGAATATATTTATAATTAAAACTATCTACTTCTATTGGGCCCATTAAATCTAAACTTAATCTCTCGAAAGTTGAGTTTGGTGTGGTGGTAATAAACATTGGTTCTCGAATTTGTTTATTCGTAAACTTTTGAACCTGACATTGTTTACAGGTTTTCACGAAGTTAGTGACGTCACTGGACATTCCTGTCCAAAAATAATATTTTTTAATATTATTTAACATCCTATTTACCCCCGCATGGCCGCTAGTAGGTAATAGATGAAAATCATTTAAAATAATACGTTTTTCATCTTTATCAATTATACGTTTCACATCTCTAGTAACAAGAAAACGTGGTACCTTCGATGCTTTCATTTCCTTTAATAAATATTGAAGTAATATTTTATTACTTTCATTCTTTACAACTACGAGCTCACAAATGTTTAATTTTGAGCATAAATATTCTAGTTCTCTCGCTAACACTTTAATAGTTGATAACGATCGAGAAAATAGAATAATACAGCATTGCGAAGGTACGTATAGACAATTACCAGACTCTTCAGATACCGTTTCTAATTTTAATAATTGTCTTTTAAAATTGTCATTAGAACTTATTATCAGTTCAATTACGTCATTGGGTTTTTTGAGAATTTCCATCACCTTTGGTTGATCAGGCCGCGTAGTAGTGGAGTCTCCTAGCGTCAAGTCCGTGTGTCTGTTATCTACTTCGGGTTCTAACAACTTTCTATATTGCGCGCGCGTCATAACCGATATCACTTGCTGTCGCATTTCTTTTAAATCTTTACAGCTTAATGGGATTCGACTTAATGCATCTGCGGCTGCATTAAGGCGACCTGGTACATGCTCTATATCAAATTCGTATTCCTCAAGGTATAATCTAAATTCAGTTAATCGGCTAGATGGATCAGACATTCCAAACAAATAAACCAATGGTTTGTGATCCGTAAGAATCCTAAATTTTCTTCCATATAAATACGGTCGAAAATGCCTAATTGCCCATACGATTGCTAATAATTCCAATTCAATTATTGGATATCTAGTTTCTGCTGGTTTCAAACTCCTACTCGCATACGCTACGACGCGACCATTACTGTTGGACAAAACAGCGCCCAATCCTGTTTTGGATGCGTCAGTTTGAAGTAAGAACATATTTTTCTCTGAAAAATCGGGATATTGTAGAACATTAGGGCTAATAAGTGATTTTTTAAGTGCTTGGAAAGCAAATTCACATTCCGCCGTCCAATTAAAAATTGCATTTTTCTTACATAGTTGATTTAATGGATACGCACAATTTGCAAATTGTGGAATGAAGCGTCGATAATAATTTGCGAATGCGACAAATCTCTTAACTTCATCCACTTTTGTTGGTCTAGGATAGTTTTGTAACGTATCTATTTTTGTTGGGTCAGGATAAATTCCATTTGAAGTTATTTTATGGCCAAGATACATAATTTCAGTACGTAAAAATTCGCATTTTGTTGGGTTCAGTTTTAGATTGACCTGCCGCAACCTCTCAAGTACTTTTATAAGATTCTTATTATGATTTTCTAGAGAGGATCCAATTACTATGCAGTCATCCAAATAAATAAATGCTTGATTGTAATTAATTCCAGACATTGCTATTGTCATTAATCTCGAAAAAACGCTGGGGCTAGTTTTTAAACCCATGGGACATCTTTTCATTTGATACATTTTGTCCATAGTAAACGCTGTATATTTTCTCGAATTTTTATCTAGATTTAGTTGAAAGTAACTTTGAGAAAGGTCTAATTTGGTAAAGTAAATACTACCTGACAACGAATCTAGGATTTCTGTAATATTAGGCAATGGAAATTTGTCATCTTGAATAACATTATTTAACTGCCTATAGTCAATGACAAGTCTCCATTTCTTTTCCCCTGATTTATCTGCCTTTTTGGGCACTAAAAGTACCGGACTGGACCACTCAGACGTTGTTTCCTCGATTATATCGTTATCTAGCATTTCTTTAATTTGTTTTTTAATTTCAGACTTTAATGCGTGAGGTAATCTATATGGCTTTTTATAAACAGGTGTAACATTATCCTTTAACTTAATTGAATGTTCCAATAAGTTTGTGACCGAAAGTTTATCGCCAGGTAAATGAAAAACGTCTGCGTATTTTGCGCAAATATTTTCTATGCATATTTGTTCCTCTTTATTCAAATACGAACTCAACTGTAATAAACCAAATAACGTTTTTACGCGTTTTACCGAGACTCGTTCTTCATCAAAAGAACACGCATCAAAATAATTTAAACTATATATTTCAATGTTATGAAAGTTCACCTTTATTTCCTTATTGGTTATATTTAATATCCGTAATGGAATTTGTCCATTTTTTGGTTTAGCAATCATGCCCGCGACAAAAATGCCTGGATGTGAGGCTATTTCTTTAGCTAACACCACACAGTCACTACATAATGAAGTTGGAATATAGCGTACTATTTCACAACGAGGTGGTATAACATGTGTGTAGGTACCGTTACCTAAGATATTTGTTGTAACTAACATATCTCTGTTTTTCAAAGACAGTGTGCAGTTATCAAAATTTATAACTGCTTTATATTTTTCTAAAAAGTTTCTCCCTAATATCGCATCTGCTGCGCAAGATAAGCTTCTAAAAACATAAAATCTATCCGAGAAAAAAGTTCCTTGACATTCTAAGTTTAAATCAATATATCCTTGAGAAACTAAATTACCGGTTACCCCTTTTATTACTATTTGCTCCTTAATTATAAATTTTAATATTTCAGGTAATTTGTTTTCTAACCATTCAAACTTAATTACACAAAGACTTGCCCCGCTATCTGCAAGTAAATTAATAAGTCTATTAAATAATCTACATGTTATAATGCTATTACTATTATAGTTATAAACAAAATGTTCAATTTGTTTCGCCACGAAAAAACTCATTCTCGGTTTCGAAATTATTTGAAGTTGCCTCACTTTGGATTTGTGCATTATCTTCCATGTGAGTCATTGATGATTGATTATAAGAAATATTCCGCGGATTGTATCTTGCGAAACGTCTTCGCGGATTCCAATTGTTGTTCCTCCACACTTGTGTATGATTGCGCAAATAATTATCCGTATTGTTATTGTTGTCATTGTTGGTGTCTGAGTTTTTGCAACTGTTGTTATTTGAATTATTATTGGGTAATCGTTTATTAATGAAATTGGGACCGCGATTAAAGTTCTGCGAATTCCGCCTATAGTTTGAGTTGTTAGGACGAGACCGAGAGTTTTGGCTATTTCTTACCTGCATGACTTCACTTTCAGGAGCCATAGAACTCTCATCAATAGCGGCACGAATAGCATCTGGAAGTGACTGAAATTGTCTTGACGCTATTATTGTACTTAATCGAGTATCCGCAAGGCCATCGGCGAAACGCTTAATAGCTAATTTTTCATTAATGGGGCGAAGAATATTATATTTCTCACTGTCATCGTCGGCTTGAGATACTGTCAAATTAACAAAAAGTTCTTCTAATTCGGAGCCGAAAGACTCTATAGAACGATGCCCTTGGTTTGCTCTATGTAACTGTGCCTGAAGGGCGACGGATGATTTTTTTTGTAATAAATGTTTTTTCATATCTGTGAGCAAATCTTGTACACAGGAGTATGACGTATTCATTCTTAACTTTGCACTAGCTGATAATCTAGTTTTCAAAACAAATTTAATTAATTGATTGTTCGCGTCAGTTGTAATCATAGAGCTATAGAGATCTATGCCATCTATTAGTTGTTTGGTAATTTTTTCTGCTCCTGTCATAACAGGTAACAGGGAGATGGCTGTTTTCATATCGAAATTATCTAATGTCATGGTAGTGGATTGTGAAATTACAGTTGGTGTTGGAACTAAAGAAATTATTTTACTATAGATCTTAGTAATTTCGTCTACAGTTTTATTTATTATGTCTATGTCTGTAGACTTTATTTCTGATTTATTTAACTGTTCGTACACTCGAGACAAAGTATTATTTAATTTTTCATAGGCACACTTAGCTTCATTTATTTTCTTGTATCCTATCTCTTTTTGTCTGCGCTCTCGACCTATCTTAATTAAATAGTCATAAATGGCTTTCAACGTTATTTGAATTGCTATTAACTCATTTATCATATTACTTAATAAAAGGATACCGAACAAAGTTGCATCTTCTCAAATTGATGGAGGCAGGCGTCGCAAAATTTTCTTTCCCTTGGCGTTACTCGGCAGGACCTCGACTCGACGCTACTTGGCTGGAACTGGGTCGGTCTTGCTGCTTGGGCCGGGATAACCCTGGACTCCGCTGGATGGCCGGGATTTCCCTGGCCTGGCTTCTTTTTTTTTTCTTAGGCTGGTGAAGACGATGGTAATGACGAGGACGGCGTCAATTGTAGGGTAGAGGTGGTTGTTTGCAATAGGTGCCGATTCAACTCACGACGCAGTGTTTTAACTATATGATGGTGGCACTTCTTGCTTAAGTAGTAAATGAGCGAAGAGGCGACGAGGACAAGGACCACAATCATCAAAATTTCGCCGGTGTTCAGCAGTGAGGAATGCTTCTGCGTGGCTTGGGCATCACCACTCGCAGTTTGCGCTATCACGATTTCGTCTTTGCTGTATGACTTCCCCATTAGATAACCTTTGTTTCACTTCTTTATTGAATTTCTTCTTAATTGCTCTTCGTGTTAGTTTATCTTCCTACGGGTTGTAAGGTTCGATGGCAGGGTCGCCATGTAATGTTCGGAGTTTAAAAGAAAACCATTTCGTTCAAGTGTCGTTTATTGAATGCCAAAGTAATACACGTTAAAACTAATTACATATAAAGTGCAGCGTCAACATTGCTTGGAGGTATGTTGCAGTCAATAATTAAAAGTCGAACCGTGTCGCTGTTAAACTATAAAATCATCGCATTTCAGTTTCGTAAGAAGGTACGTTTATAAACAAAAGTTTTAATTAGGCTGTACCTTTTTTTTTTTTGATGACGGGGGGGAAACCTTCAAAAGGCGCCTAGCTTTTTGGGGAAAAAGACTAGGGAGTGTGGGATTTTTACCTCACTAAAACCACCCCGGTGGCCACCCTCAACACCTGAATGAAGACACCGGGTCCTCTAAAAGAGACCTGCTCCGGCGCCTCCACGGTGCAACGTCTGTTACGACACATCCCTAGGGAGACGGGTTTCTCCTTTAAGCCTTGCTGTCTACGGCGGCACGTGACCACTGTGCCACCGTCTTCCCTGTGACCACAGGGTGGGCACCTAGAGTACCCACTCTACGCGCCCGTGGCCCCAAAGGTCCGCCTGAAGTTTATGCAGGCGGAATTTCGGCGTGTTAGGCATCAAGGTGGTTACCTCCTCGACGCCTTCTACGAGCAGGATCGGCCCTCTCGCGACCCCGCTCACCAGCTTCCTTTTGGGACATTACAGTCTCACAAAAGGAGGCCACTTCCCTCCAATTTTCTGTATCTGCCAGCATAGCCTTAACTAAGGCTGGCAGAGACAGGTCTCGCCCGATCTTGGCAACCAGAACCCGCCGCTCAGAGGCCCATGCTGAGCACTCCTCGAGCGTGTGCTGTGCGGAATCCAGGTCACCCCCTAGGCTGTACCTAGTGCGGTTGTCATTGTACACTGGCTTTGGGCTGGTAATAAAGAATTTTTATTTTATTTTTTTATTTTATAATTAAACGTCATCTACACGCAGACTCTGAATGCAATACAATTTTGAATTTGAAACAATTAGATTACTTAAATAAGGATAACTTCCGTTTATATATTTTTGCTATGAATATACCCCTAGTTCCATATTCTGTGAGTTTATAATATTCATATTAGCGTGATAGTCATAATTTAGCTAGTTTAAAAAATGTTTAACCTGCACATATCTTACACTAACATGAAGCCTCCTTATTCTCAAAACTATAATTAAAATTACAAATTGTTAGTTAAAGATTCCAATCTATTCAAAAAACTAGGTAGGTCACTTTATCCTGTCAAAAATAGTACCTCTTCGTCTTTTTTTAGTAAAGTAATATTAACAAATAAATTGACATTTATGACTCGATTAAAAAAGTAATTTTAACAAATAAATTGACATTTATGACTCGATTAAAAAAAACAATCTGTAAAAAAACTAGTCAAGTCTTAATAGAGCCGCTTGTTCATCTTTAAAAAATCTAAACGATTATTTTTATATAAACAAAAGGAATCTCTAAAAAGTAATGAAATCTAGACAAAGTCGTGTCAAACCTAAGGTTTCTTAGTGCGATTTCTTTATTATTATTATTAAACTGTCAAACACCAAGCGGTCACCGGTGACCGCAACCTATTGTTCTATAATTGTGTCTACAAAACCGGTACTCGACGAGTTAATGTTGTGTGACTTAGCCGTTGAAGGGTACACAACTTAATGCTTTAATTTACTTTTAATGTGACGAAGTATTTACCTACTAGAATATTCCATGCATAAAAGGGCTGTCACAAAAATGTAAACTTTATTCGTCTTGAGATTATAAAAACACTCGGACAAAGGACAATAAAACCATAAAATTAACTACAAAATATTTTATTATTATACCTCATACTGAACAATAACCCAATCATAAACTTAACGAAACTTTAAATCAATCAATAGCCAATCACTTCCATATCAGTGGTATCCGTAGCCGTATCCGTAATGGTGGTGGTGGTGGTGGTGATGATGGTGGCCAGGTGCTACATCATCAACGGGCACTGGGCTGCGCACCTGTCTGTGGTGTACGTCATCACCGCTGACTAGGGTCAAGATGGCGCACACGAACATCGTGATGAAGGCAAACTGAGGAAGAAAAACATACTTATTAATATTTATTATACTTAAATGATAAATGACTTTATGATATTGTTTCAATCTCTTGCACAAAATCTTAGGATGAGAGCAGTGTCTCATTGACAATATTGAATTCTGGGAATATGTTTAACTGGTACGGTAACCGTTAGTAATTTATTTATTTAATACTTCTGCACATATAGCACAAGACGGAGTTAATCCCTAATGTATTATTCTGCTGTATCTACCCAAAAATAACATAATTATACTAAGAACATAAAAGACTGAAAGAAAATAAATATTCATTTCCTAAAAATATGAAAAATACTTACGAATTTCATTGTAAGATATTTTGTTGCAATTTTCAAATTGAACTGATAACTATGCAATATTAACGCCACGTTTTATACTAAATCTTTGATTACGATGGAGGGAAGTAAACTCTATGAGTGGTACAAAAAACCAGAATTTAATTCATATATTCAGTTATTCAGCATCAATCACAATATAGCAGAAAATGTATGTATTTATGCATAACCTTCAAGTTAGTGCAAGTTCAATAATCTGATGAGTCAAATCTTATTAAATGATAATGCAATGCAATTAATTGATTAGGCATTCATGCGTCATAACTTGTAGTGTGTCGATCCTGCATAATATTCACAAACGCACCGTTCCAGTTACGCTATAAAACTCATTGTGAAAAAAGTTCTCGTAAAAACAACGCAAATTAAGACTATCAGCGGGATCTATAATCCAAGATATGTACGTACTATCTTCAGTCCGTTTCAGGCCGCTACTAGAAATATCCCTCTCCAATAGCAAGTCAATTAAAGTCTTCCTATTCAAGGAATATCTACTTTCCTAGAATAGTAATGACCACATCCTTCACTAACTGAGCATACGGGCCTGTCTTTTTTTTAAGAGGGGAAAATCATCGAATGGCTGCTCCCGGCTGCGTGAGGAGAGAGGGAGTGTCAGACTCTTACTGACTAAAAACCACCCCGTTCCTTCTCCTGCACGTCGAGCCAGAGCCCCGGTAACCCGTTAGGTTCTCCGCGACATACTGTCCTGTCTAGACTATCATAATCATTTCTAGTAGGTAGAGGTATATTTTAATATTTTCACCTTCATCGTCATTATAATTTGAGCCATAAGACGTCCACTGCTGAACATAGACTTCTCCCAATGACTTTCAGACAGACCGGTTGGAAGCGACCTGCATCCAGTGGCTCCCTATTTTATTTATGGAGTGAAAATCATCTAATGTCTTCTCCCGACTTGGGGACGGCGAGAGGGAGTGTCAGACTCTTACTGACTAAAAACCACTCCGTTCTTACTTCTGCTCTTCGAGCCGGAGCCCCGGCACCCTGTTAAGTCCTCCACGGCTCCGTATCGGCATCAGCCCTATTGGGCCCCATCTGTGGTGGTCTGATGGCTGTTTCACACACACGCGGTCTGGTTCTAGTCGGGCGGCGAGTTACCCGCGCACGTCCGCAGGCCCGTGCATCCAGTGGCTCTCTGCGACCTAAATAAGGTTGTCTGTCCACCTTCATATTAAAAAAATATATATATTTAAGGGTCACCCATATTACTTTACTATCTAAAAGCTTGGTTTCACCACGTGCACGTGTTATGATAGCAATCGTATTTTATGTTAAGTAGTTATTAATTAATCATGACGACCCATCTCAATCTTAAAGTGTATAAAAACGCATATCATTAGCACATTTATCTCGTTAAATGTTACCATAGCTTAAAACCAAAAAAAAAGAAGAAAAAGGAAAAAATGTAGGTACAAGTCTGTTCTTTACCTTTTAATATGATTTGAATAGCCTTAACAGTCAAATTGGAATATTATTTTTATTAAGCCGAATGAGAAGACGTCTGATAAATAATAAAAACGATGTTATGTCATCGCAGGTAAATTAATTTAATAAGCAATATGAAATATGAAATAAGCCACTTTGATTTATTAGTTGAAGTCTGGCTGTATGCAATATGCATGTTCCTTGTGTTACGCTTGTAGACAAAGGAATAGATATAAGACATAATTATCTCTTTAACGGAAACTTGTTGTGGAGAGAAGATCAAACACTTAGTGAACTTTTGATTACGTAAAAGGGGTGGATAGGAATCGAAAGGTGAATAAAGATAGAAGAGGGGTTTATAGATATTAGGAAATTCTTCATAGTATCGATTCACCCCTTTCGATCCCTATTCACCCCATTTTACCGGACTCGAAATTCCTCCCCGACTTTTGGATATATTTGCAAAATTCTATAGAATGAGATCGAGTGGCCGATAGGTCGCAAGTGCGACTGCTGGGCAAGGGGTCTCGGGTTCGATTCCCGGGTCTGGCAAAGTATTACTGGTTTTTTTAAATCTCATTAGTAGCACGGAGTCTGGAAATGTGCCCGGTATATGGCAATAGGCTCACCTCTTATCACATGAGACTCATAACATAAATAGTAAAAAAGTGGGTGTTATACCTATTGTACTGTGGCATTGAATGCCGTAATGTGGTCCTCTGCTTACCCCTTCGGGGATAAAAGACATGATGTTTAATAGATTACCAGATGACATAAAAAACTGCGATAACATTAAGGCATTCAAAACGAAACTTAAGGAATATGTACAAACATTGTAAATCTCGTTAAAATAAAATGAATGTAACTTCTTACCGCACTGGAGGATTTTGTCATATGTGTCATAGAAGATAAGGAACCTTTGTATCTCATTTTAAATGAACAATGTATCTGTTCTTATGAGAAATAAATTCTTTAAACCCACATGTTATGATAACATCGAGTATAAGTCTTACAGTTTAAAATAAATGAGTTCTAATTTTATTTTTACGTAAATATACCTAACAGTATTCAAATGTAATAAGTACATGTAATGTATATTATATTATAATAATTATTATTTCCATATATTTATTTAAAATTCTCTATAAATTACATTTTTAAATACTACTTACAAAAAAATAAAAAATAATATTTAAAAATATAAAAAATAGGAGCCGACCAGTAGCGGGAGCATGGTCCAAGCTACCGGTGGTTAGGGCTCCAGAGACAGAAACCTCCTCACAATGCGCGCCGTTTCAAGGAGAACTGCCTTCTGTATCAGGCCCTTGACCCAACTGCCTAACGCTAGCCTCCTAAGGTGGTTGTCGAGGCTATTAGGGATTAACCCATTGGCCGACACGACTATCGGCACAATGATAGCCGAATCTACATTCCACATGTCGACAACCTCGTGAGCCAAATCAAGATATTTGATTTGTTTATCTTTTTCAGCTTTCACGAGGTTCTCATCATGAGGAATAGTGATATCGATTATCATCGTGCGGCGCACTTGTCGGTCTATCACCACTATATCAGGTTTGTTGGCTATAATAGTCCTGTCAGTGATGATAGACCGGTCCCAGTACAACGTGATATGGTCATTTTCCAGAACTGGGTCGGGCACATACTTGTAGTACGGTACCTCAGACTCAACAAGTCGATAGTGTAAAGCAAGTTGCTGATGGATAATCTTGGCTACTTGATTATGCCTATGCAAATATTCACTGTTAGCCAAACGACCACAACCAGAAATAATATGTCTAATGGATTCACCAGGACTATGACATGCCCGACATATGTCAACCGTCCCATCCTTAATTATATATTTCCGGTAGTTATTCGTAAGGATAACTTCGTCCATAATTGCACAGACAAATCCTTCAGTTTCTCCAAAGAGATTACTGAATCGTAGCCAAGACACGGACGCTAGAAAATCTACACTGGGCCCATGAAGGGCCCGGAAGAAGCGTCCGTGGAGCTCCTTGCTATGCCATATCTCCTTGCGATCATTGACGCTCAGTACCACAGGTTTGCGCCAGTTCTCTTTTGCCAAGGATAGCGGAGTGAATCCATTGTCCACCGCTGCTACTTCTCGATGCATACCCTCGTTGACTTTCAGGAAATATTCCCTGAGGCTGCACACCTCACGGTTGTGAAGGGTCTTAGCATTTAATAAGCCTCGACCACCACACTTCCGCGGGATGTACAACCTCATGACCGACGAACGAGGGTGATGTATGCGATTTGCAGTCAGCAGGGTCCGGACTCGCCTATCCAGGGTGTCAAGTTCAGTCTGAGTCCACTTGAGTATACCAAAAGAATACATTAGGACTGGCATGACCCAACCGTTAAAGGCTCGCACTTTGTTTCCGCCTGATAAGGAACTTTTCAGTACCCTATTCAGGCGGCCAAAGAAGCGCTCCTGTAACGATTGCTTCATGTCCGGTCCATTAATGCCTAATCCTTCTGACATATAATTATTATTATTATTATTAATGTAATGTTTATTCGCAAATTCTTCGAACCACCCTCAATCATGCAAAATAAAACACAAGATAAAAGTGTAAACAAACAAATCGTTGCGCAAGAAATTAATTAATAATGATCTAATCTAATAAATAAAAGTAGTTCTCCTTGAATGCTTTGTGGCATCTCCAGTCAAGTGTCAAGATGTTATAAGAATAATTTAGTAAACTTGTTTGACTCTCTTATGAAGATGGTTCTGTACAAATAAATTTTAAACTGTCAAACACCGAGCGGACACCGGTGACCGCAACCTATTGTTCTTTAATTGTGTCTATAATGACGGTACTCAATGAGTTAATCTACATGTGTAGAAATGAATAGGGTAGATTAGATGCCTAATTTTTATTTTAATGTCCGTCTGGTAGATTATTTTAAATCATTGGACACGTATTTTTTATTTTCTTACAGAAACGAGTACTTTCAACTATTTTCATAACATAACATCACGCCTTTTACCCCCGAAGGCGTAGGCAGAGGCGAACATTACGGCACTTAATGCCACTGTACAATGAAACACCCACTTTTCACTATTTATGTTATGAGTCCCATGTAATAGGTGGTGAGCCTATTGCCATATACCGGGCACATTTCCAGACTCCGTGCTACTACTGAGGTTTTTACAAACCCAGTAATACTTTGCCCGACCCGGGAATCGAACCCGAGACCCCTTGCCCGGCAGTCGCACTTGCGACCACTCGGTCAATGAGGCAGTTCGACTATATATTGATTTGAAATGTTGCGTGACGTGACGTCACTTCTATGTACATTTTATACGTAGTAATGACGTTTTAGCCCCCACTCTTAAACTTTGATTCGTTTTATCTAAGTATTGTTTTATTATACGACAAAATAAAAAAATACATGTCTAATATTTTTTCATTACGTATCTAACTTACGGACTAATTATATTTTTAATTTTTATACCCTGTCATCATCCCAATTACCGGTCGAAAACGGCTGGACCGATTTAGCTAATTTTGGTCTTGAAATGTTCGTGGAAGTCCAGACAAGGTTTAAAACAAAAAAACGATTTGAAGCCGTACGATGTTTGCCGAGTCAACTAGTTTCAGATTTGTATCACACCTAGAATAATAGTAAAGAAATTAATATCCCTTTTAAAAAGTACCTATCCTCATTTAGAACCTAACGGGTAACCGGGGCTCCGGCTCAACGTGCAGGGAAAGGAACTGGGTGGTTTGTAGTCAGTAAGAGTCTGACACTCCCTCCCGCCTCACCCAGGCGGGAGCAGTCATTCGATGATTTTCCCCCATTAAAAAAAAATCCTCATTTACTTTTAGCTCATGTGGTGATTACTACGTAACCCTCGATTGTGTCTTCATAACAGGGAACCTACTACCTTCTAGAAGCATAAATGATGAATGGAAACAAATACCACTTTTTGTCCTTTGGCCAAAAAAAATGACGTGATATGATGTTACCGATTAAAACGTATACACATTTAATTATATTATGTCTGTGTAACGTGCCACAGATTAAATATTGAGCTTCAAATACCTGTCCTCATGTGACTCCCCGTGGACAAGCTAACCTTTTTGTCGCGTTTTTGAATCTAGTTTTATTATCTCAGTGTGTTTGCTAACATTATACTCGAAAAAATAAGACCATTTGAATACGTACGAGACATTTTTAAGAAAAATATTGATACACCTCTCTATTTTTAACTACTCTAATGGCAGATACTTTCTTTAGGAAAATAGTGTACAAGCCCGCCACAACCTCACAGAACCGCTGCAACTCCTGTAAGCCAGGATCTACATAGTACAGTAGATACAACCATAAAAACACCGGAACACTGAATTCTGGCGCGTCCCAGGGACATGAATCTCTCTTGATTCCCGCAACGAAGTGAATCAGAAGATATTATAAGTAGGGTTGCCACCTTTTTTTGGTATTTAAAGTACATTGACGATTATAAGTAAGAAAAAAAAGTACACAGTACAAAAATAAAGTACAATTTATTCTTATATTGTATTATATTTAAAAATATATTTTTTATTGCTTTTTGTAGTTTGTATTAAATTAGTACCTTTACTTAACAATTGCATGTTTACTAGAAATTGTGTAAGTGGCGCTGGCGAGTGGCGAAATCGATTCAACATAAATCATTAAATTTATATCGAATCGATAAGTTTACCGAAAAATACTTACGACTTTAATAGAAATGAAGTTTGCAAAAATAAAGTATTTTCGTGTACTTTATTATTCTTATACAGTATAAGTACAATTACCTTAAATAACGTACAATACTTTATTATAAAGTACGGGTGGCAACCCTAATTATAAGATATGGCAAATACTTTTAATGACTTCACAATAATCAAGAGGTTCTCAATACGTCATTTTTTTTGTAGAGCCTAAGTTTACAATTACTTCGCCAATTATAGACTGCTTTGATTTTTTTTGGTTCATATGTCTGTGGTCCTATTGTCGGGGTTGTTATAACATCGGGATCTTATGACAAAATTAAAGATAGAAGTCTTTAGACATCGACTTCCAATTTATCAGTGATTGTGTAGCAGGTAGGATATTATATGCAAGATAGTTATATTTTCAGCTCTTTCATTTTAAAATCGGTTGCGTAAATAATCTTTGGCTTAAAAACTATTTGACTATTTCTTTCAGTATCATTTATTTGATACGAAGCAGGAAAACTGCTTCAAATGATAGATATATAACAAATAGGTAGCTATAAAATTGTTTATTATTTTAACGAACTATTGTCAGTGTTTACCAGATTATAATTTGGTTTAATTATCCGATTTCTATGAATTGACACAATAACAACGTGATATTAACAAAAAATGCGCAATAGATTGTTTTTTTTTAATAGCTAGGTACATATATGGATGCGCATATTATTTAAATCGATATTTATATTTCTTCATCAATTTTCCTGTAGACGTTTATTATTGATCTACAGATCTACCATATACATAATAAGGAAAGGATAAACGAACAATTTAAAACTTAATCAAGTATAACCTTCATAGTCTAGGTTTATTAGCAATCACTTGTTATCTTAAAGTCAAAATACCTTCCTTAACCTACCCTGAAAAAATAAAGACTTTATTTGATTAACCTTATTAGTTGAATGGTTGTAAGCAAAGCTGATGAACAATAAAAACCTCAACGGTTAAAATATAGCGTCTAAAGTAAACAGATTTTTAAATGTGGGAGAGTCATGCATGCTTCGGCACGATAGGGCCGGCGCGGCGCCCGGCCAGACCAGAGTAATATCACGGCCTCACAGAAAACAACCGTATATCAACGCTTGCGTTGTGTTTCGTCGTGTGAGTGAGGTTACCGGAGACCCAATTAACCCCCTCCCCAATTCTCCCAATCCCCCAAATCCCCAACAATTCTAAAATTCCCCTAAAAGGCCGGCAACGCACTTGTAACACACACATCTGATGTTTCGGGTGTCCACTAGAACATATGTAGGTACCTAGATGCTTTAAGTATTCTTTTATATCTACTATGTATCTACGACTACCGGGTAAGGGGTCTCGGGTTCGTTTCCCGGGTCGGGCAAAGTATTGCTGGGTTTTTAAAAAAGTCTCAATAGTAGCACGGAGTCTGGAATTGTGCCCGGTATATGGCAATAGGCTTACACCCTACACAAGCTTTGATCATTATCGTTTAACTTAATTAAATAAGCACCTACCTACTTACTGACTCAAGTGACTCATTTAACTTTGTCTAGTGATTACAAATATAGAGATGGATGACAATAAAAACAATAAAGTAGGTATGTTTGTTTGTTTATCTTTTTCCACGTGTCCCTGTGCAAAGATTTTATGGATGATAAATCAAAACAATTTTTCTTAAACTTAAAACATAAACTTGAAAGCAATTTCATGCTTAAGAACGGATGTAAGTTATTACCTACTTATTCAAAATCTTCCTTTCGTACATTTTGGCCGTGTAAAAAGTATCGGGGGAACGCACAAAAAATATCTTAACGAATTTAAATTAGGGGAAACGAGGTATACGCCGGTGACTACTTGAAACGAGTTCTTCGCAATTTGCGCACAATATCAGACATTCCGGTCATCGTAGTCATAATTACAATTCAAAAACATCAATATTTTCCTTGACCTTCCTCCTTTATCATTGCTAAAATTATCATAAATAACAAATTAATTTTTAATCCATAACACGTTTATAAGTTTTTGTCGGTTTAGAATATATTATGAAAATCGACTCGTTTTGTACCTATCAATTAGGGTTGCCACCTTTTTTTTGATATTTAAAGTACATTGACGATTATAGGTAAGAAAAAAAAGAACACAGTACAAAAATAAAGTACCTACATTTTATTTTTATTTAGTATTATGCTGTATTTATTGCTTTTTGCAGTTTATATTAAATTAGTATATTTACTAAACAATTATATTGAAATACTAAACAATTGCATCTTTACTAGAAATTGTCTAAGTGGCGCTGGCGAGTGGCGAAATCGATTCAATATAAATCGATAAATATCAATATCGAATCGATAAGTTTACTGAAACTACTAACGACTTTAATAGAAATGAAGTTTGCAAAAATAAAGTATTTTCGTGTACTTTATTATTCTTATAAAGTATAGAGTAGGTACTATTACCTTAAATAACGTACACTACTTTATTATAGAGTACGGGTGGCAACCCTACTATCAATGTACCTATACAAAAACATAGGCTCAAAACATGTTTTAAATATTAATATTCCAACGTGTATAGAGACTCGTTATTTTAAACTTTCATATTCATATCGATATGTTTGGATCGGTCATTGACACCGCTATCACTTTCCTAAGCCCCGGCGTCCTTGGAGCTGGACAAAGGTAATTTATTTACGATGCATGGAGAGTGGGAGAAAGCCTTTCCAGTTACATAACCGGAGAATACCTCGAAAAATGTTAGTTTGGTGCATTTGAGCAGTGTAGTTACATCATTTTCTGAATCCCGGAAGACATCGAGATGATAGTGAGTAATTTTTGAATAATTTTATTATCAAAAAAACTTCTATTGGCCCACTATTCGTGTATTGAAACACGTGAGACACGTGCGCGAATGTTAATTCGCCTGTAATTGAATAGACAAGGACTCATATACTAATCTCGTGACCATAACAATACTAGTTCGATCTCCGGACTACTAAACTACATAAAATACCAGTATGCGAATTGGTATTTAAAATGCGAGTTTGCACTTAAACTCTAATAAAAACATGTGATTTAAATTCGTTTGCATTAATATTGTAGTAACCAAACAGGAGTATTGATTCGAGCCCGGATCTTGGAAAAGCTTCTCACTTTTTAACCTTTGGAAAAAAAAAATAATTATTTTTTCTTTGACATAGTAGGTAGGGGATTGTGTTCTAAAATCGAGCACGTGCGTACATAAATAATTTCAATAAGTAGGTATACGTTACTTCATTACTTTTACGAAAAATTCTGGCCAGAATCTGAAATCGTAGACTTCATATCTAGGACACGGCACGGAGCAGAAGTTGGAAAGGGTCGTTTATAGTTCCCCCACACACAAAAAAAATGCTTCATGTGTCCACATTCAGTGTCTATTAAGTATAAATAATAAACTTTAAAGAGTTCCATTAGCTGTGATAGATAATAAGTAAAAAAAATATCAACATGTTTACAAGATTTACCTCAATTAAATAATTACATCTGCAGTATGCACTTAAGAACGATGTACCTTGATAATCACCCATTCGACGATGTAATCAATTACTTCTTTAGGTGGTAGTAATTATTTATCTATGTACCTCTGCATTACTCACAGTTAGTTGCATAATCTATTTATTAGATTAATCAAACAACTTGACACAAAAAAAAACTAGATATATGTCTCGGAACAATAACTTGTACGTACTGCTAGACGTAAACAGCGATCGCTTTTGTTTATTTTCAGTAGCTTAATAGGTACTAGTTTGTGGTCAATTCGAAATTCAAATAAGAATAGTTGCGAAACCATAAAAACAATATTATAATTTTTAAATAAACCTAGAGAACACGTTTTTCGAATTTCTGGAACTGTGTAGAATGATGAGTCACACTGTATTATTATTTAGTAAAGTGCATAAGTAATGGCAATGTCAAACCTTAAATTGTATTCCCCGAAGAGTTAGGCTTACTATGCACGTTGCGACATTTGACGAATGCAGGCGAATTAACATTGCCGCCTCGTGGACAGTTTTCATTGATTCTTAGCAAGATGCAAGCATTTATCATTCGTAAGCCGCCTATTGTTTGTGAAGGTAACATGCATTTACCAAATGATGAAACGTGGCCCTTAGACAGAGGAGCGCATAACACCTACTTGTTGATTATATTATTAATCTCATGCAACAGGAGATTATTACAACATCTGTACTCCGTATTTGATAGAGCTAAAAATTTTAAAAGTAATAAATACAGTAACTGTGTATGTGAAGGATACCTACATGCTTTTGTAAAATGATGAAACGTGGTCAGTTACCCTTAGACGGAGGAACGCTTACCCATCACCTACTTCTTGATTATGTTAATTATCTCATGCAGTCATGCAATAGAAATCTATACTCATCATCTGTACTCCGTATTTAATAGAGCGAACATTTGAAAAGTCTAAAAATACAGTAGCTAATGGTTTATCCCACCGCTATATCAAAATCGACCCCTAAATTGGCCGTTTGCAATCACTTGACCTCTATAGGTTAAGTCAGGCACGCTCTATATCGTGCTATAGGTATACTGATATGCACCAATTTCAGTTTCAGATCGCAGCACTATGCTGCATTTACATCTGGTCAGTGGAGAGTGCAGTACTGGACCCGTCACTCTACTTGTCTCCGAGTCCACCGCTAACTGACGTTAGTGGAAGTCTGACTCCTGGAGAGTTGTGGACCAGGCCAGTGGAGAGGATGGCACGGAACACTGGAGATACATTACCTGGTGTTACTGAAGAAAGTAAGTCAATGATAGTGGTATCTTTGTATTATTTACTAGCTTCTGCCCATGACTTTATACGCGCAATTCCGTTTTCTCCCGTTCCCGTAGGATTTTTAGGTTTTTTTTTCTGTCGTAAGAACCTTCTCCTGACAATAACAAACACAACAAAAAAAAGGTCAGCCAAATCAGTCTAGCCGTTCTCAATGTTATGGCGTGACAACAGGAAACGGGTATATAGATTTATTTACTAACTACTGACGCGCAGTTTCACCTGCTCTGCTCGGCGGTTATATGCCCATTGGTTATCCAACACAAAAACATTTTTTTTAATCGGTCCTGTACTTTCTGAGATTACCGCGTTTAAACAAACAAACAAACTCTTCAACTTTAGATAATTAATATAAGTAAAGTAATATGAAATAAAAGTAATAAGGTGCATATCATAAATACGTAGTGTAACATAGAGCCAATGTACGATCTTACCTGGTATAGATCTTGCCTACCAACCTGCCAATAATTTGACAAAACATCACCTGATTCATAATTTGTTTGTTATTCATTAAAAGGCATTGTTATAACAAGCATAATCGGGCTACAAACAAGCAATCAGTTATTTTAATTTCAATTCTTAAGAGAAGAAGTGGTTTCGATAAAAAATAACACCAAACAGGTATTATTAAAAAATCACCATTTTTTACCCACTTTTAATAAATAATAAGGAAAAACCACAGCCCCTGCGTGTGGATCCTTTTTACAACAAGCTCGTTTACCTACGTCAAAATATTCTTACATTGATTTACGAATAAAAACGTGTTTAACAACGTCTAAAAAATAATATATCGTCGACTTAACCTTATTATACTTTCCTGTTTAGTTTTTTTTAATTATTATTATCCTCGTCACGACACACCATAATGTCGTGAGATTTAAGATTTTAGATTTAGTATAGAAGTTAGGCACTTTTTATTACTTACCAAAATACCATTTGATAGTGCAAAATATTATATTTCCACTCTCGTTTCCTTCAAAAAGTTAAGAACAGCTTTAATACATAATAATGGCATCTGCGACACGACATCTATTATGTATGTCATAACGATCTCAAAATAATTCCTAACCTATTTAAAGTCTGGGCTTGATTAGCTCACTAATCTGTAACTGTAAGCCAGGCTATGGCTTAGTCTAAATTATCCTTGGAATATGGAAGGCCATTCCAGAGATAATTTAGACTTACGAATATGGCCCAAGATATTCCAAGGATAATTTAGACTAAGCTACACTGACGACTTTAAAGATCGAACGAATCAATTAACATTACTGAGTCCAGGATATCACACTTAATACCTAGACACATTTACGATCAAACTAAAACAATTAAATATTTTAACATTTCCTTATCAGATATGAATAGATGAATAATTTAGATAGAGAAGTTCAAGTCATCAAATAAACAAAACTTCCATTTCAGAGCCAGTGACAAAACGAAAACCACAACCTATGGAAAAAGCGAAGTTTTTCTGGCCATCACTTCGTTCAGCGCACTACAGCGTAGGCACTGGTAACGTACAAGTTCCACTAACTTTCAGCGTGTCTGGTCTTTATGGAAGATATTCTCCAGGAACTGTTGGGTCATCAGGAGTCATTGGCAGCTCCTATGGAACGATAACAGATATTGGTGCACCCATTTCCTCGGGCTTAGCTGGTACTAGTTATGGAAAATACAGAACCTATTCAGGATTAAGAATCTATGGAGGAGAAAATGGACCTGCGTGGAGTGGCTGGGGCAATGGCAAATGGGGACACTACGGGAAAGGATAAAATAATATTGAATACGCAAATATAAAAATTCATCACAAGTGTGTTTCATTTTATTGATACAAAAACATACCTACGAGGAAAAATACTTAAATATTTTATCAGCAAATAAGATATTAGATAATAAACTGAGGTCAGACAAAACAACATCTCAGACAAGTATCATTTGGTGTCACTCGTCTTGAGGATAACCCGTCCATTTAATTATCTAACACCACATGTCATTATCTTTTTAATATCAATCCACCTACCTATACCTACCTACCCAACACGTTAAGTTACAGACATTTTAATAAATTATTATGCAACACAACTCAATAAGCAGGTCCCATTTGGATAGGCATAACAATATGTGCAAATACGTCTGTACCTATACATCCGACTATAAAGAACAGCTATCCATAATTGTAGATGTCCGCATTGTAATTGTAACCAATGTCCGAATCATTGTAATGAAAAGAGTTCACAGGAATATCACTGATTTTGACAGGCACTTGTCAGCTACAATGGTCGAGTTTCCTGTACAGATCCATTTAAATGCAGGGCAGTAAGCAGTGCAACATTTTACTTCCGTACGATGGTAGGTGTCGTGGTGCTCCTCGCACTCCTACCGGCATTAGTCGCGGGTGCTGGAGAAGGTAACATCAAATTATTAGAAGATGAAGTAGCAGTAGCTTTGAAATCATGCACATATCCTGACGACGTCACCAACTCAAAAGAACCTGCAAGTAAGGAACGTCAACGCCGATCTGAGGACTCTTACGATGCTTCTCCCAGAATAGACGATAATATGAAAGAAGGGAACCGATACAACCACGAGCGACGGATTACCAACGACAGTGGTGACCAACTAATGGTCATTAATGCAACTGATGACGACTATAGTGGCTATGGATCTGGGAACATGGGAGAAAAACTGCTTACATCAGTACCACGCCCGGCAACTCCGAGTAACAATATAAACAAGAATAATACTAGCAGGACCAAAAGAAACGAACCGCTTCTAAACCGTCCCGATTCGGATCAGGTACAATAAAATTATGTCATTGAATATTAAATAGACCAATCTAAAAAACCTGTAGAGCTGGATTATTAAATCATCTTTTATTAAATTTAAGTATAATCTTGATAAGTGGATACGTCAAGTATCATTTATCGTGTAAATCCCCGTCTCGGCATCGAGGAGTAAGTAACATTTGATTTTAGGTATGACATACCTCATTCAATGAGCATTTACATAATTTAAAGATGACATTTTATATAAGCTGAAAAAACAAACTCTAAAGTCTAAAATAAGTAAAAAAACTTTATCAATTCCTCTTTTAATTTGTTTACCCTCCATTCTATAACATAACATCCCGCAACGAATGCCTTCTAATCTAATTTACTCGAATTATTTGCAGTGTCTCAGTCAATGTGTGTTCGCCAATTTACAAGTGGTAAGTGCCTGCCTGAATACGTTTTGAAAGAGGAAAATATAAAGAAAAAAAAAGCAAATGTGATCGTTCTACAGTCTAGAGAGAGCTTAAGTTAGTCTAGAATCTAGACAAACTTAAGCGAGAATAGAATTCGACAGATTTTAGTCGAGTTTTTGTTTATGGAATCAGCGGCAACCAAGCAGACTGGTTACTTGATGATCGGAGAAGTAACTTACTTTATACCTAAACTGTTTGCTAGGTGGACAGCAGAGGTATACCTCGAGAAGCAGAATTATGGAACAAAGTGCAATCATCTGTGACGTCACAACAATCTCGGTCTGCGCTGCACGATCAGATACAAGCTTGCTTCCAGGAGTTACAATCAGGTACTATTTGGTACCTACTGTTTCATAGAGTAGTATGGACGGTGCGACTACCGACCTTGGAATTCAAAATACACCTTTATGACTAACGTTTAAATGGTATCTGTCTGGACAATGGTACACCAAGATGATGGAGACTTTCTATATTCAAAAATGTCAGTTTACATGAAGTTACGCATGGTGGGGTTGATATAGAATTCGCTCCCTATTACTCGACTAGTAACATAGGGTAACAAACAATGGTATACCTCTTTAAATTTCATTATTGGAGTCGGATTAGTAAGCTGACGTGTTAGTGGGCCTGTCACATTCACATTTGTCGAACATCCGTTAACCGTTGGGGTAAACTTGTTTTTAAGTAGAGACCGCGTCTAGGCAAACGTAGTGTAGGGCGCCCTCCAGCTAGGTGGAGTGACGACATCCGCAAAGTGACTGGCAGTGGTTGGATGTGAGGAGCTGAAGACCGAGCTCAGTGGCGTGCCATTGGAGAGGCCTAGGTCCAGCAGTGGACGAACACACTGATGATGATGTAGGTGATTGGAGTTACTTTAAAAGTCTTACCACAGTCACAGTTGCCCAGTTACTTACAGATAAATAACGACGTTATTTTCGCAGAGGCTGAAGACAACGGTTGCTCCTACTCTAATAAGTTGGAACGATGTTTGATGCTACGTTTCTCCGATCGTAAGGTTGACGGTAAAGGAAATGCCAAGAAATCTTCTACGGAACAGACAGGATAGGCTGATGGTATGTAGGTACGGGGTACCAGGAGTTCGGAAAAAATGACAATTTTTTTTTCAGTCTTATCAACTGTTTAACTTATTGCCAGCTCATGTACCCACCTTTTCTAATGGGACAGCCAAACGTCACATCTTCTTGTACTACTTCTTCTTACAGCTAATTTCCCTTACTCCCCTACTGGCCTTTTTATGGGATAAGCCGGTAAACAAGCAGATGAATTACCACATGGTAAGCAATCGGCGTCGTCCACGGACACCCGAACACCAGAGGCGGTACAGGTGCATTATCGGCCTTTTGGAAATTAGAAATTTAAGGATTGTTACCTACTCTAGTTTTTATATTTGGCATTACCTAATCGCCTACAACTCAATTTATCTTATGGATATAATAAAAACAAATATGTCATTTACCTGTTTCAGAGAACAAACTACGACCAACCGCATAACCCAAAGGATATAAGTACGAATGACAATGACAACTAGTTTTACATAGGTATCTAAATGTGTAGCCTAGAAAAAAGCAATTCAGAATAAAATCTGACGACAATTTTGGTGATTTTATTTTATTATTAATCTACCTTAAACTCCTGAGATAAGTCACCAGTCTAGTCTAGCAGGATAACACGCAATGATATTGCTTAATACCTACGTTCTGAGATATTTTGGTTCGAAGAGGCTTCGGCATCTTACATGCAAGCGCACACTGTCGGAAACTATGCTTTAGCATGCTGGAACGTTCTTAGGGATAACGAGGCGTCCTGAAGCATGTCACACCGGCCTGAAGCATGCCGAAGCGTCTCAATATCGTATTTCTCGTCATAACAGTCTCAGAGTTGTTACAAGCTAGTTTTTTTTTTATAATGTTACATATTAGTTCTCCACGATCTCTTGGTTCGTGCCCTCGTCATAGAATGTTACACGCTGGTAGTCAGAGTTGTATTTAATATTATGGACTGAGATCCACTGCTCATAGCAGCTGTTGCTGAAGAAGAAGAGAATTATAATCAATTAAGCCGGCAGCCGGCGGCCGGAGGATGCCGAAGCATTCCGAACATAGAAATATTAAAATATTATATCTATGATCCCGAAGCATCCCGAAGGATTCTCAAGGCTGCTGATACAGCAGTCAGCAGCCTCGAGCATACCGAAGCGGTATTTTTGTTATTACGACCATATGCACTGCATGCAATGTTAATATATATTGCTATTTGCCACTTAAAATCCTCAGACGGACCGATGCCGATAGTGGGTGCCGGACCTAAGGAGATATTTTGGAGTTAAGCCTTTGACTGCCATTAAAAAACTGTTGAAGGTAAATCCTCCGCTAACGTCGGTCACCGGTGACCCCCATGGCGTAGACTAATTGTTTATTGTGTTGGATAGATGGGCACTAACGTGCGTAGCATGATATCTTGTAAATACTGTTCGGTTCGGTTCGAATCCAACTAAATTCTCATCTTGACAACAGACCTTCTTTTGCAGTGACAACTAGCGCGCCTTACGCAAAATGTATGGTATACATATTATGCTATCTTCTGCTAGCGACGTCGCCCACGCTCTCGTGAAATAAAACGTAGCCTATGTGTTATTCCAGACTATAATCTACTTCTGTTCCATATTCAACCCGATCCCTTCAGCCATTTTGACGTTATTGAGTAACAAACATACACATAAATGAACAAGCTAACATACTTTCGCATTTGCAATATTAGTAAGATAGTACTTATACCATTTTGGAGTAAGACGGTAGGTGGATATGCGTAATTTAATCATTATAATAATGTTCATTTAAGGAGGTAAATGCATAGGTATATCGCCATTCATAAATAGACCACTACTGGATAGCCAGGAAACGAGAACGGCTGGGGATGGTATAAAAAAGGCTTGTCCAATTTTATGTTTTTCAACTGATGTGGCAATATTTGTGCGGGTAACGGAGGCAACAAAGTTATCGGTGCTGAATTCTGAAAGAAAAAATACAATAGGGAATTAGGTACCACAGATACTGGAGACTAAAAATCTCGTATCTGGTAAACTGGAGGGAAAAAATACTTTTTCGTAAGTTTAAGTTGGTCAAAAAATTTAAAGTGACCAGTACTGCCATCTGTCTTATAAGCTTTGAATTATCGAGGGTTATTAAGTAATTGATAACTTGATCCGACGAAGTCTAACCGAGCGAACTGTACATAACATACATGTAATATCATTGTTTTTATACCCTTGGTTGCGGCTAGAGTGTTAGTGTTACACTCACATTTCTCAAGTTTAGTATTCAATTAATCGATATGATTGATGGTCATCCCAATAAAATACGCATTCATTCATACCTGCTGCCACTCAACCAACTACGAAGAACGAAGTATCCAAATTAATTATTGTTTTTCGTCTCACTCACGTAACTGTTTGACGAAGAAGTCGACTAGTTTCAGTTCGCACGACGATACACGACGCAGCGAAAGTCGCGGAATGCTGTTCATGAATATAAGCCTTTAGCATAGCTTAAAACTAGTCGAGTTCTTCGTCAAACAATTACGTGAGTAACCCGAAACACATAATAATTTATTTAGTATGTGTAACGAACTTTATAATATACACAAAGAATCAATTTTGATAGGTTTTTAAGAAAACTTTAAAATGTGATATAATAAAAAAATTATATTATCATTGATAAGTAAAACACAATCCATGTACTTACACTATCCAAGACACAGTAACTAGCAATATAAATAATTAATATTTCCAACTTATTGAACACAATCATTATGAAAGGTCTCGCAACTATTAATACTTTTACAGTCTTAATTTTTTATGTTGGCAATAACTGTTCAATAATTAAAAAGTTAATGGTTTTGGTATTGAAATGCTCATTAAAGCTAAATTATTGGTAATTAATGTACTGCTGGAGCTAATATTGTGAGATTCAGAGTGTTTAGCGGTAGTGGCTGTTGGGTACAAATTCTTGGTTGTGCTTGCATGTGCTTTATCCACCTGCATACATGCATGAATGATTCACGTTCTGGCACTGACAGCCGCTCCTGAAATAAATAAACATAAACATGTTATAGTCTCTTTTTTGATAATAAAAAAAATTATAGTTAAGTCAATGTTACCCTTTATAGCTCTTCCCCTATAAGCTTGCGCCAAACCTGCATGTTTTTACTACATTATAATGCAATGTCAACACCGGCTTTTAAGGCACTGAAAATTGTTGAAAATCATCCCCTAAATTTGTTCATACAAAAGTAGTCTCTTAACATTGGAAATAAGGTTTATACTGTAGTTATTGGAGAGCGGTCACCAGTGACCACTTGGGGATATACGGGTTAAGTCAATTTTGACATTTGTATTTGTACTTTATAGGGGAGTACTAGGGGTCATTATGAAGTAGGTTACAGTCTAGTCAGACAGCTATTTGTTTGGCCTTCAGTTACCTACTGGTTGGCAAAATTTAAACAGAAATATTGTAAAAGTATGTCTTGATGTCTCTTATTAAAAGTATCTGAATAAATGTTTTTGTTCTATAAATTGTCTCTCAAACATATGCCTTGTAAAAAAGGCTATTTACATATATTTACTGATAAACAATAATATACTTACTATCAATGGGTATAAGACATAATATGCTGCTACATCAGTAACATTCAATTTCTGTCCAGTTAGGTAAGTAGTCTTCTCTAATGCCTTATTTATGTCCTGGAAAACAAGTGTTAATCATTAAAATTTGCTATCTGTATAGTATCAAATACTCTTTTGTTGTGACATAAAGTTTATATTATTTAATGACCATAGTGAAGGGGAAATCAAAGATACTTAGAAGGTGAAAGTAGATATTCAAAATTCATAGTGCACAGGTTATGTCTAAATGGTTGTATGATGCAATCTTTACTGATTGATTTACCTTTAAAAATCCCAGTGCAAACACAGGGTTAGCTGCAGCCTGATTGGCATACATAGCAATGTGTTCCAGCCACTGATAACTAAGCAGCCTCTCCTCCTGGCTCAGCTGAATCCCACTAAGAGATGCTAACTTCAAAACAATTGTTGCAAAACCTTCTATGCTTTGCTTATTTATTACAGTAGTAAGTACCTGAAACAGAATATAATATATATATTTCAGAATTGGACTTATCTGTATGATTACAAATATTGTCCTCTCTCATACAATAATATTTTGAATTATCTGCAATAAATATTACCTTATCTGTATTAAAACATACGGTTCCCACAGATACATTGTAGTATCTCCCCACTTGTTTTATTACTTCCACATTACAGGCGCTCATGTTGTTAAATTACTTTAAAATAGTTCGTGACTCGATTATGAGCACGTTTCAGGAAATTATTGTTTTGTAAAGATACCAATTTGAAATTACAGCCACGGATTGGAGGTTACAATTACCTTGACAGTTTATTGACATGTAAACTGAACTCTATTGTTTCTGATTATCTATAATCTACAAAATTGAGAATGTTCATTTTAGGTCCAAGTCCAAAATTAAACTTGCTATTTTTTATTTTAATTTAATTCCTTATTTTTAGTGTTTCTAATTAACTTTATAAAATATTTCATTAATAAAAACATCGTATATTTGGATTCTCATTTTGTAGATTGCACAAGCTTGTATGGGTGAATGGTTAAAACTAAAATGTCAAGACTTATGCAGAACACTATTTTTAAAAGCTGGTAACACATAAATAATCTGTAATCAGCCATTGAAAAAGTTGTTGATACTGAATTTGATTGTTCGATCTTCGTACATCGTATTGGAATTTTATTGTTAAAGTCAAGACACTAAAGTTTTATTGAATAATAAAACAATCAAGGTTTACTGAGAATTACTTCTATGACCAGTAAGCGTGAATATGTTACCGTAAACATCAATGTAAAAATATGATCTTGACCAATTCAGTGTAATTCAAATAATTTACGTAGTTACCGAATTTGTACAGTCGTCTTCATGTTGACTTTGTGCCACAATTATTTTCGAGTTACTAACAACAATAAGAATAGCAAAGATGTGCCCCAACGCTTTAACAAAAGGAAGTTTGCGTTCGGCGTTTTCATTCTGTTGTTGGTCGTTATTCTGTGGGTGGTATCCTCTGAGATGACAAAAGTAAGTATTTCAGACTATTAAAATGTGTTTTAATATGTTTGTATATACTTGATATGACATTGAATGTTTTTGTTTACAGTATTTGTACATAGAGAAGCATATTGAGAGACCATTTCTTGTGACCTATGTGAGGAGTTCACTGCTGTTTATTTATTTGTTAGTATTATGTTTTACACCTCCTACAAGAGATCCTTGTCAACCTGCTGACTATACAGTAAGTATTATGGAAATTACCTAACATTGTCTAATAGGAATTTATTGAAAAACTTGTGTATAAACAACTATAAAACTTATAACTTGTTTTTAGAATTTAATTACTCTACAAAACCTACAATAGTTTATCAATATTGTTATCTATTCTCTTATCCAAATTATTCTTACTTATTAGGCCAACTTAACTAAATAATCATAGACTTGACAAGCCATAGAAAGTAATTCAAGATAACATGATCAAAGCATTGATTTCAATGCTAAATGACAGAATTGGGCCAACAGATTTCTTTGTTATTTACCTGTAAACTGTAACATTGTCATAAATTGGTACCTAGCGATCTTCATACATGTATGAAACATCACAACTATATCTATTTTGGCTAAGTAAAAACCGCAAAACACTACTTACTTGTAAATTTTATCTTAGTGACCTGTTGAAATATCCTACCCTAAATTTGTTCATACAAAAGTAGTCTCTAAACATGGGAAATAAGGTCTATAATGTAGTTATATGGAGAGTGGTCACCGGTGACCGCTTGGGGATTGAGCAGCCAATATTATAAATGCGAAAGCTTGTGAGTTTGTGTCTATGCTTGTTACTCACTCGTGTCAAAACTGCTGCAGTCATCGGGGTGAAATTAAGAACAGGGGAGATTATAGTCGGAAGTCATATGCTTCTTTTTATTCTATGGTAATGCGGATGAAGCCGCAGGCAGAATGGCTGGCTAGTATTAAATAAATAGTTCTTTTTTTTCGTCTTTATACTTAGCATCTATCATTATGAATTTGAATACTGAAATGCTGCTCAATTTTAAATTGTACATAATTAAATATGGCACTATCTCTGTCGTTTTTTAAGTACTTGTAAGTGACAGAAATATTTTTTATTGAGTGTCTTCAATAAAACAAAAACACATTACCTATAAATATACAAACATACCAGTTATAAGTATGTACAATTAGTATAGTAAAATAATATAATCATAAAGTAAAATGAATGACAACAAATAGATAAAATCAATATGAAAGGTTTGTTAAACAAGTCTTTATCTTACAGGAAAGTTGTCATTAATTAAGTAATTAGGTAACTGCAGTAAATAAATCAATGTGCCTGATTTTGTATTGATAGGAAATAGGATCATTTAGTATGTCAATACCCAACTATTAAAATGCAATGATGATAAATATGTTCAGGTTCACCATAAGTCCTTGATAATACTAAGTTATCACTTACTCTGCCACAAAGAGTACAAGGATCATGAAAAAATAAACCAAGAAGTGATGTTTCATTAATATTTATTAACCTTTCAGCAATTATTAGAACAAACAGGAGAAACGGATGATGAAAGTTATTTTAATGAAGCCACAAATAGTTTGGTAAGTGTCCCATTCATAATTATTGTCCCTCAAACCCAGAATATTTTAAAAATACCAGATATTAAACTTACATCCCTTAATTTTTTTGTCTAATTAGCCCAGGATGTATTTTTAAACCTTAGCAATATTAAAATAAATAATTTAATCAGAAATTCTAAATTGTAATTCAATAATTTTCTTTGTTTCTCCTTTGTTACTACTTCTGTAATACATTCATTACCCACAGTAAATTACAACTATGAATAAGTTATGAAGTCCTTGACTGACATACTGAAAGAGTGTTGAAGGGTATATTTTATTAAAACAACCTTTTTGTATTGTTTTAGGTTCAGACTCAGGTAAATAATCACCATGTACAATATTGCTTGGGATAAAAAATACAGCCTGTATACACCATAACGTTTTACAAAAAAAATATCATTATAAAAGTTTTGACCAAAATTGGAAGTGATTATAAAGTTTTTTAAAAGAAATGGTGCATTACAAGAATGGATTCTATAGTTCAATAATATTTTAGGGAGATTCTACTTTTGTGCCGGTCCGGGCTGGGGAAACCACAGACAGTGATGATGCCGCACCAAGAGCTGTACGATTTAATAAAGTGGCAGAGGTAATATCCAATTTTTTTTGATATTTCTATCGTTTTATTATTTTGATCATCAATTGTCATCAATAAAACAGATGGATGAGGGATACAAAAAAATGGAGAAGCAAAGCAGAAAACTCCTCTGCCCAGCAGTGGGTGAACCTGATCTGAAATTTTAATGATTTCTATGACTTTCTACAGAAACCCAGAGATTTCTGTGTAGACAGAAAGAAGTGGAAGAAGGGTACTTTGTGTTTGTGAAAATACACAATAGAATAAAATATGATGACTTATACAGGTTCGTGTAATGTCGGCGGCTATGGCAAGCGAGGCTTTGTTGGCGCGACTGTCGTGGGCCGCGTCGGTGCGCGCCACCGAGCACGCTCAGCGCCGCGCCGCCGCCGCCGCCACGCGCCGACATCTCCGACTCGCGCTACTCTTCTGTGTACCTGTAAGTTAAAAGCTGTTGTGACCTTCAAACCTTCAAGAAAAAAAAGAACATCCTTATGTATTTATTTACTAAAGGCAAATATGTACAGGAAATAACAATTAGACAAAGATGCATTCGAGTATTAGCCTTTTTAGGAGGCAGGAAAATCATCCAATGACTTGTCCCGTCTTGGGTTAGGCGAGACGGAGTGTCAAAGTCTTATTGACTAAAACCCACCCCGTTCCTAGTCCTACTCTTCGAGCCGAAGGCCCGATGACCCATTAGGCCTTCCACGGCTCCCTTTCGGCATCAGCCCTATTGGGCCCCATCTGTAGTGATCTGATGGCTCTTTGAGGCGTGCGCGGAACGCGAAGTGCCGCACGCTCTGGTCTGGTTCTCGTCGGGCGGCGAGCTACCCTTTACCCTTACCGGCCATACCATACCATGCCCTGAACCAGAGCCGGACGCGAGAGGTCGCCGTTGCCGACCACACCAGAGTATTAGACTAATGATGCTTTTTAAAAGGCTGGCAACGCATGTGACTCGTCTAGCCCCTAGTGTTCGAGGCAGCACTGGTTGTTTTGATTGATTCACATCGTCTATCTCCGTTTGAGATAGGCAGAGACATAAAACGCCTTTCATACTGTTCTGGCTTACCTCTTTCACTTAATCTACATTTATCAATCTCTGCATGTATACTCATCGATTGAGAGACACAACTTTACATATGGAACAATGTCTTTATTAGATCATCTCGCGGAATAAACACTGAATTCTGAATAACACCTAGCAACATAGTATTCAGTTTTAACCTTGAAGTTATGAATACAAGATAAACTTGTATGTAGACTGCATTGTCCCAAACTGAAGGTCAGCGCTTGTTACAGATTTAAGTGTAATATTATTTTAAGAACTAGTCTTAACCAGGTTTATTAAAGTTTAACATTTTAATGGGTTTAGTATTAAGATACTTTATATAGCTATAAGGAGGTAGGAAACATTTCAATCGCAAATGTCAGTATTCAGTGCTTTAACTGACGTTTCGTTTTTTATCATAGTTTTTTTTTTAAATAGTAAGCTAATTAGTAAAACTATATAATATGACCTAGGGGTCTATAAAGTTATAGGGGTGTATAAATTGAAAATAAAAAATAAATACATTGTTAATTTTCAGTGGTTCATATCAAACTATCTGTACCGACTAAGCCTGTTGCACACGTCGACGGGCTCAGCGACGATATACACCTCGACTGCGGGAGCGCTGGCGCTCTCCTTCGGTGCCATATTCGCGCAAGTACCCAACGATCGGTTCACTCTCTCCAAGTGCATCGCTGTCCTACTCACTGCAGCTGGACTGGTGAGTTTAGAATATTGAAGCTAAATCTGAACCTACTTTGTTACTTGTTTTATTTATAAGGAATATGTTTGTACTTAACATGCATGGACCATTTCAATCTAGTATTCATTTTGATAATTTAATACTAGCATTTTGATAATACTTATATTGAAAGTTAGGAATTTTACTCTGGTATCTTAGAACTAGCAATCCCAAGTTTAAAGATTTTAAATCAAAAAGATCAAGCTGTAAAAATAATAATTTACTACTAACAGGCATTTAAGAATAAGAACAATGTAATGTTTGTTTCAGAAAATATTACAACATTTTTTGTGTCCTGGACCTCACACTGGGATTCCTTGTGTCGTGAGGTCCAGACTCCCTAACAAATAGCATAAAAAACATTACATTTATATTTCTTCTTCTTTCTTCCAGGTGGTATTAGGCATATCAGAAAGCCATCAAACAAATTGGATAGCGGTGTTGGCAGCTCTGGGTTCAGCGTTATGTTACGCTGTACATTTACTTTTATTTAGACAAGCTTTAAGAAACGGCGACGATATCAACTCGTCGTTACTCGTTGGTGAGTCAAAAATAACGTTATTTTATTTACATATCAATGAAACATAGGTCACCTTTAAGATAGTAAATAGTTGATTTTGTCTGTGTTGGATTTTATTCATGTTATCGTATGCAAAGTAACTGTACGATTATTTGTCTTAATTAGCTAGAAAGGATACGAAGAATGTAACCAATCTTTTGTAGAGAAATCCCTTAGGGGGACGGGTTCCATTAGACTAATGTAATAGTGGTTGACAAGTAAACATAATAAGTGTTCTATATTATATGTATACTAAGAAAATTTGAGCTTAAAATGAAACTGTTTTCTTGTTCTAAAGTGTGTTTCGATGTTTGTAGGGCTGGTAGGGTGTGCCTGCGGCTGCCTGACGTGGGTGGTGGGCGGCGTGCTGGCGGTGTCGGGCGTGGAGCGCGCCGAGCTGCCCGCGCCGCGCCAGTGGACCTGGCTCTTGCTGGACGCGGCGCTCGGGCCCCTGCTCATTGACTCACTCTGGCTCTGGTAACTGCATATTCTGCTTTTTATTTAATATAACTTAAAAACGAGAGTATTAAGTGGAAGAGTTGTTGTTTTAAGTTCTATGCCATTTAACAAAACTTATAATACATATTTGTTGTTTGCTGTTACACTCCTTTATTGGTGAATTAGTCATACCTAAAACTAATTACAACATTTAGTGAAATGTAAATCAATTTAGAACACAAATATAGGGCTAGTGTCTTACATATGTATAATGTAATATTTGTGTAAATGTTTACTTTTAATTATGACATTTTTACTCCAGGGGACGATCGCTAACATCGCCACAAGCAGCAACAAGCATCTTAGGCCTAGCGGTACCTCTGTCGTTGTGCGTGGAGGCGTGGCGCGGCGGCGGGCCGGGCGGCGGCCGCCACGCAGCTCCCACGGGACTTCGCCCTCTTCACCTGCCTCACCGACCGACTACGGGCAGCTGAAGGCTTCACGTGAGTACACACTTTTTTTTATAGAATAAACCGGTAATCGAGCAGGCGGATCACCTGATGGTAAGCAATCGGCGTCGCCCATGGACACCAGAGGTGTTACAAATGCGTTACCGGCCTTTTGGGGATTAGGAATTTGAGGATTATTGAGGATTCGGTTCGTATTGGGAAGATGGTAATTGCGCCTCCGGTTACCTTACTCACACGACGAAACACAACGCAAGCGTTTTTTTTACATCGGTTTTCTGTGAGACCGTGATACCACTCCGGTCGAGCCGGCTCATTTATACCAAAGCATAGCTCTCCCACACTTATCATACTTACTTTGATGTACCCAGTGAAGTTGTGATTCCATATTATTTATTATTATGACTTATCACCACTATAAAAACAAAGATAATAAAGAAATTTAAATAACACCACACAATACTTTTATCACACTTTCTACAGTATAATCGTATAAACCGTATTAATAAACAGGGTGATAAGAAACATTCCGGACCTGGACGAGCAGTCAGAAGCGTTGATGTCCTCGGACGAGCCCACGTAGCGCTACTCCACACGCAACTCCTGCTACGAGAGGAACCACTTGAAAGTCTGAGCCGCACTCATACCCACGTCTGTAGCGGCTGTTACTTTACAACTATGTACATAGAAATAAGTAAACATTACGAGTCCCGCGACTTTGACCCTCGTGACTTTATTCATTCCGTATAGTATACGCAACTTTATTTTAAGTGCATCACGTCTTATGAACCCCCACGGCCCAACGGCCCTCAAAAGCCTGTGATCTAGATCAATTATAACGTTTAGATTTTCAGAGCTTGGACTACCACTAAACATACAGTGTATGTAGTATGCAATTTGATTAAGCCAGTAGGTCATTCTCAATTCTTGTTTTATTTACCCATGTGTTCTGGCACCGCGTGTTATGTAAAGCCTCAGTTCGACGTGTAGCTAGTCGGGTGTCAACTTATCTAATAAATACACCCTCGAGTATTTGTGTGGTCACACCTTGTTACACCTAGTCTAATTTATATTTAATAATTAAATCTAGAAATCTATTAGGTGTATTAATCGTTGAATTGTGTAAAATTTCTTAATTTATATCTTAAAAAATGAACATGTGTTAAAACTTATGAAAATAATCAATATTATTGTCATATTTGTATAAAAGATCTTGAAATTTTAATATTCATACGAAATATGTTGTAAATTGTATATTAAAAGTACCATTAGCTTTGTGTGAATAAATTGTTTAATGTACATCTGAATACTGTTTGATGTGTACTCAACTATTAGGTAACTACATAAGTGTTTGATTATATCTGTACCTACAGAGTCCATAACATTTTTTTTAAATAATAAATTAACAATAAAATTATTATGTTTTCGGCTTACTCACATAATTATTTGACGAGGAACTCGACTAGTTTCAAGCCATGCTAGAGGCTCATATTCATGAGCAGCATTTCGCCACCTGCGATGCGGCGACTGTTCGGCTACGTCTACTCAGTAGCAGTTACGTGAGTAAACCGAAAACGTAATAATTTATTTAGTATGTCTCACGAAAGTTATAATACAAATTAACAATACACATTTATTTATTCACTAGCTGTGCCTTTGATCTCTGTTTTTAGAGGTAAAAACAATAAAGGGCTTAATTCATGGAAATAATTTCTTACTTGCATGTTTGTAGTACTTAATTTGATATTGGCGTGTTGCTATTATCGTTTTATATTTGCATTTATCTGACGATCAAATTTTTAATTGGAATATTTATTAGTGTTGTGTTGTTATATTTAAAATTGTTCTTGTTTAACATCAACATTGTTGTCTGGTTTTTTGACAATTCAAACAAAAATCTGAAGTTTGCTAAGATGCAATTGCAGTTTCTTCGATTTTTTATGTAATACTTACTACTAATATACTTCCTATTTGAATTCTGTAAATAGATAAACTAACAGCTATATTTGATTATATTTATACTATCTTCCTGTTATATATTGTGTTCTATTTGTAATTGACACAGTATTATCTAAGTGAATTATTTTGTGTTATGAGAGTAGTAGCAATAGATTTTATATACATATTACTACTGGTTTTATTTTGTGTTACCTCTTGATGTACCTGCACGCTATTGCCTACTAGATAGCTTGTTAAAAGTGATCTGTCCACCGTTCAGCGCATGATCAACGGGTGATACCAAGAGTACAAGACTGAGTTAAATCCTAGGCGGAACAAAGTACCTATTGTTGTTTTGTGCTTTCTTATTTCTTAGCAAACAATCGTTTGTAATAAAGAAACAACCGCATTTCACTACATGCATATGAATATACATATACTAAAATAACTCCTTTTACAATTTTCGTCTGTCTGTTTGTCTGATTGTTTGTACTGTCTAATCTCTGAAATAACTGGACCGATTTTGACTGGACTTTTATTGGCAGGTAGCTAATGCACCAAGGAGTAGCATAGGTTTATTTTAGAAAAGGCAGATGAAGTCGGAAGTCGCGGGTTCAGCTGGTACTTACAAAAAGTGTAAGAATTAAAAATGGTCACGCTGATGACTCCTGTTCTATGTGATAGTGAGGGCTAACGTACATATAACTAGCTACTTAGTCAACCCCAACCTACCCCTTACAAGTGTTGATTTGATTAACATGGCTCTCACACACGCCTATACTTTTAAAGTTATATTTGCTCACTCTTCTTCTTCTCTTTATTACCTTCATCACATCAATACATAGTATAAAACAAAGTCGCTTTCGCTGTATATCCGTATGTATGCTTAGATCTTTAAAACTACGCAACGGATTTTGATGCGGTTTTTTTTAATAGATAGAGTGATTCTTAAGGAAGGTTTGTATGTATAATACATGCATATTGCACCCGTGCGAAGCCGGGGCGGGTCGCTAGTATAATATATACTTCACTTTATTACCAACATTAAAGTTGAAAAGGACTTTAAAAAAAATTCTCAACCCAGAATTAATAAAAAAAATTAACTGCAGGCCTTAGCCCTGAAGAGCATCTGAAGAGGGACTAACATGGCTGAAAATAAAATAAATAATTAATGATATTCGTTTTTGAAACTTTCAAACAGTGGCGCCAACTAGTGTGCAAGACACGATAGGTCTAACTCTATGGAAAGGTCCATAGAGAATGTGGAATAAGACTCTATAGATAGACCCCATTAGTTTGACATTGACAATTTTAAATTCAAGTGACATGACATTAACAGTGACAGCTACATGTACATGCATACATAACCTCACTTTTGTACGTCAAAATAATGCGTGAATGTGAATAATTAAATCGTGAAATTACAAAAAAATATTAAAAAATCTTTTTGCCATGATATCTACCCGCTTGTTTGTTGGGAATCTCCCACAAAACACGGAAGAGAAAGAACTATACTCGGCCTTTTCTTCTTTTGGTAAAGTTACAAGTGTGGATTTGAAATGCAAACCTGACGATGCAAAAGAAAGCAAGAAGTTTGCTTTTGTTTCGCTATCTGCTGATAATGGGAATGTGGAATCATGTAAGTTAACTTGGATTGAATTTGTAATATGTATGTGTGTATATTATCCATCATATATTATGAAAGCTTTACGATACCTCAGTGCCAGTCTCAAATTCTTTTGAATGAATGATTCCTCGCCTAACATTCTTAACATTACCAGAGTAATGTATCTTCATAATACTCTTACCTCCAAAGATTGTGTACAAAGTATACATTTGATTGTAACATC